CTGCATTGTCGAGAGCATCTTGACCAGCTGCATCACTGTCTGGTATGGCAGCACAACTGAGTGGACTGCAAGCGCCTGCAGAGAGTGGTAAAGACTGTGGAGAAAATCAACAGGACTCCACTGCCCTCTCTGCAGAGCATTTACCACCGCAGGGTGCGTAGGAAGGCTGCCTCCATCCTCAAAGATCCCACCCACCCCCAGCATGGACTGTTTATACCCCTACCCTCTGGTCAGAGGCTCAGAAGTGTGAAATGCAGGACCTCTAGACTGAAAAACTCTTTCTTTCCCTCCTAAACAGCTGACTCAGGATCTACCTCATATAATTCCAGCTGTACTGTTTACATACTCAGTTTGCACATGCATAATTGCACACTCACTGCTGAGTATTTGCACTCCATGGCTCCCACGTAGCATATATTCTCTCTACATTATATTGTGTTCTTGTTGTATTTTTATTTGCTCCCTTCACTTGCTGCTTTAAAGTGCCTTAGATTTGTGATTTTATTGCCTATTTACTCCCAAGCCTCCTCTCATCTACTTTATATTTCACTTGTATTGTGTGGCATTCATGTGGACGGAAGTAAGAATTTCATTGTACAGGGAAACGTTTCCTAACTGTGCATATGACAAATAAACACTCTGACCTTTGACCTTGACCTTGAGATTAGAGAGAAGACAAGAAATATCTTATCTCTTCACCGGAGGAGCTGGAGGAAGTGTCTGGAGAGAGGGAAGTCTGGGCATCTTTGCTTAGACTGCTGCCCCTGCGACCCGGTTCCGGATAAGCGGAGGAAAATGGATGGATGGATGCCTATTTAGATTTGTCTTATTGCTCATCTACTTTATATTTCACTTGTATTGTGTGGCATTCATGTGGAGGGCAAAGTAAGAATTTCATTGTACAGGGAAACATGTTTCCTAACTGTGCATATGACAAACACTTTGACCTTGACTTTTACTAAGGTATCCGAGTACTTCTTCTACCACTGACATTTTGACTAAAGGTATGTTCACATTACAGCAGAAAAACGAATGTCTTGCGCTACACGTTCCACAGTTGACAATGCAGAAACTCAAGTAGAAACTCCTGGGGCACTGTATAAAACAGTGCTTTCCACTGTCAGTGCTGAGCCTGCACAGCGCACCACACACACAACAATGCCAAGGCAGACAAAAAAAGCCCTTTTTCTGCAATAATGTGAATAAGGCTACATTCACAGTGAAGCTCCATCTGCCAAACAGGTAGGTCCCACTGAACTTATAAATCTCTTTTATCAGGGAGACCAGGGAAGGAACAGTGTGTTAGTTCTGGTGTGGCTCAACCTCTGGTCACCTCAACGTAGTGTGTGGTTGTAAAAAGGCAGCACAAAATCAAGATGGCCATCCTCCGTCTTCACAATATTTTGGCTTCACTTTTGCATAATGGCAGGAAGTGGTAACACATTGTCCATCATTACAGTCTATAATCGAAACACAATTCTTTTCATGCTCATACCAGATTGTTGTCCTGATAACTGTAATTAACCTAACCCTAATTAACATCCAGTTAAGGGGGGAAATTTGAGGTGACACCCCGGGTCAAAGAGTCAGTTTCCAGGCTTCAGTGAATAACTTATATATACATACTGAGGCTGTAGAAGCTTGAATGTGAGAGTTTGTACCCATCTGCACGGGAAACACTCTTTATTTCGGTGCATACCACGTGTTTGTTTTGGACAAAGGTGTAAAGGGTTAAAGAAAAGCTGAGCCGCAGATTCACATTCAGCAGGTTTGCTCTGTGCTCTCAGTAGCTGCAGCGCTCCGCGGGCAGCTCTGGCTCCGGTATTTCAACTCGCTGTGGATTGTGGGAGTCGAGGACACTGCCCAGGCTTGTTACCGGAGATATTTTTCACGGTGCCCTGTTTTGTAAGTAACCCACCAGGTCTGTACGCCGTCTTGTCTGATCGAGTATGATCGCCTTGTGTCGGCCGAGCAGCTCTCACTTCACAGCACGGAACCGTTTCCGTTGCCATTTCGTGCTTTTCTGGCGAGGAGGCCCAGACCGGAGACCGCGCTGCTGGAGCGCACAGGCGGGGAGGGGAGGGGACGCGACGCGGACAGCTGCCGTCGCTCCGCCGGGGTTGTTTCCACCCGAAAGCTCGCTCACCTCAACGGGAAAATGTCCCCAGACCGTCTAACAGCTCGGCGTTAGCTTCCAGTATAGTGGCCCAGGCTGTGGGCAGACTAGAGTTACCTGTGCGAGACATGTTGACATGCGGAAATCCTTGTCTGTGGCCAGCAGAAATAAACGCCGAGTGTGGCAGTGAAATCCACCTACCACCTGGCCAGAGCGCAGAAATGCCGCAGATGTTGCAGAGGAAATGCTCTGGATCTGCTGTCAGTAACGTTTTGTTTGCACATGATAGGACGCAGCATGTGAAATCCTTACATTGGAGCAGGTTTAGGGAATAGCCTGGCCTATGGCGGGGCTAATTGATTACCAGTAACGTTAACACGCAGCTAATTGGTGTCTGCATCTGGTACAATGGAAAACAATTTAAATTACAGTAGGTTTTACAAGTCAAATTATCTACGGAATGGACTGGGAATATTATTTGAGTTTAATCCCATAAATTATAGCATCTGCATATTTGCTTTTAATAATTAACTATTCCCAGATTCGGTGTGCTAATATAATATTTGTGATTAATAAAATAGCTGTTTACAGCAGTGCAACTCTTGTTATAATCCATGTCTTCCTACGGCTGATGTGACATTTAAGGCTTCGCTTTGGGCTGAACAGAACGCACCAAAAGCCTGATTTGAATCTTGGGCAATTCCGGGACAAGATGTTTAATGAATAGCTGTCACTTGGGAAAGCAGCATAACATGTGTCCCCTGCCACCTTGGACTAGTCAGCAACAAAAACACTTTGTTAGTGTTATGTTTGAAAAGGACTTTTGAAATAATACTTTGTGGCTCAGTTTGTATTTATGTGTTCATAGAGAAATAGACTGAAAAGTCCATTCACAGGAGGACTTCCACTTTACATTGAAGAATGCAAAGCAGGGAAAGCTTGCATCCTGTTTTTTAAACCCCAGTGTGCAGCTCTGGCACAGTAAAGACTGAAACTTGGAAACTGACAATGACCAGCTGGTGGTCAAAATTCCTATTACTATATGTAATAAGGTGCGCGAGCTGGGTATGAAATGAACCAGCTACGGTTTACATCAGTTTTCAGGTGTCAAAAAGTCCCAAACCTTCCAAAACTAAAGATAAAAACTGTATTCAGGAATCGCATTAGAAATAAGTTTCTGTCCATGTCACACTGTCTGAAAGTATTCAGCTAGTCCCTGTCAGGAGGGTTTTGTTTTCCTGGTTTAGCTGATGTTTGGGAGACAGATTGTTGTGATTTAAAAAAAAAAAAAAGATTGTTGTGATTCATCACTTCCTGTTGAAGTGATCTTACTCAAGTGGTGAGAGAAAGGGACGGCTCTGCAGCAGTTAACTCTGAGAAGGAAGTTTATACTCTGTTGTTCTGTTTCAGTTGTGTATTTTCATATTTTCTCTCATGTAGCTTTACAAAAACCTAATAGTGACTGCTTATTAAGTGTTTGTTTCACTAAGTAACATTCAGATGTGTTAAAGGACCATGGCTGATGTGTCTCTGCAGAGCCTCGCACTGGTCTCTCACCGGCGTCAGCACCATGTCCAGCCGAGGAGGAAAGAAGAAGTCGACAAAGACATCCCGGTCCACCAAGGCCGGTGTCATCTTCCCTGTGGGGCGCATGCTGCGCTACATAAAGAGGGGCTTGCCTAAATATCGCATCGGAGTGGGAGCACCCGTCTACCTCGCTGCTGTCCTTGAGTATCTTACTGGTGAGATTTATTCTGGGGAAGGAAAGAATGTTAATAATAAAAATGCATGTTTGAGGACCCAGCTCTGCATGGATCTGATAGTATTAGTTATTGCACATACATTCAATATAATACAAACTCCCAAAGTGGCTCATTATCATAAACATTTGAACACTGAAGCATTTTTTCATCATGTAATGGCAGTAAAGTTCCTCAAGTGTTTAGCTTCAGCTAATCTCCTGGTGTTTGTTTAAAATGTATGTGAATACATTTTGACTTGGTTATATAAACTGCAGGGACCACATGAAAGTTAATCTGTTGTTTTTAATTGAGCTCACCTCAGCATTCAAAGCATGTAAACTACTTATGATAAACTGTGTTTTTACCTGAGCAGCAGAGATCCTGGAGCTGGCAGGTAATGCAGCCAGAGACAACAAGAAGGGTCGTGTCACGCCTCGGCACATCCTGCTGGCCATCGCCAACGACGAAGAGTTGAACCAGGTCGGCTGTTGCACATAGGAAAAACACTGTAGACATGTCTCATTATTGGCACCAGTGATGTGTTTATTCTGTAGCGCGTTTACAAAGGATTGTCACCTATATTCCAGTGTGTACAACAAATATGCACCTTTACCTTTCATGCAGCGCAGAACCGTGTGAGTTCAAGTTGTTCTTTGTCTTCCCGTCTCAGTTGCTGAAAGGTGTGACCATTGCTGCAGGTGGGGTCCTGCCCAACATCCATCCAGAGCTGCTGGCCAAGAAGAGAGGAGCGAAGGGCAAACTGGAGACCCCCGTCTCTCCTGCCCCTGAGAAGAAACCCAAGTCAGTCAAGAAAACGGTGCCTAAGAAAGTGAGCGGGAAAAGAGGAGGAGGGAAGGCTAAGGTACGGCTTCACGTCTGGTGATTGAGATTAACACCGGCTATGTCTGAGGTCATTCAAGGAAGTCGAAAGTGGGTCGTGTGAGATTACTGAACACCTGTGATTGAATTTGTCTGGCTGTACATGTTTAGCCACCTACCTCTGATGTTGCGGTGTGTGCTGCATGGTTTATAAGTGTGTCGCGATTAAAGTCTAATCAGAACAATACTTTTTAAATACTAATTTTGCTAAAGAAATGCTACAGGTGGCAAATTAACAGGAGGCACCTGAGCACAATCTGGAGTACCTGGGCCTTTTGTAAATACTTTTGTAAATGAGAGATTTCAGTTTTGGACTTTTAATACATTTGCATACACTTCTAAACCATGTTTTTACTTTGTCATCATGGGTTATTGACTGATGTAGACTGATGGGCAAAAATGGCCATTTTATCCATTTAAAATTAAATCTAAATCACAAGAACGTTTGTGAAGGGATCCGAATACTTTGACACCGCTGTATAAAAGATGCTGTAAGTTAAATGATGAAACTATTTTTGTAGTAACAGCAGAAAGTTAACCAAGTTTGGATGTTGTTTGACGACAGGACAGGAAAAGTCTACAGTAACTGGGCAGAGTGAGATTAAATGTTGCAGAACTACAGCTTCAGCACTAAGTCGTTGCAGTAAAGTGTCACATGGTGTTCACGTTCTCTGTCACCAACAGAAACAGGGCGAGGTGAGCAAGGCGGCATCAGCAGACAGCACCACAGAGGGGTCTCCAGCCGACAGCTTCACCGTGCTCTCCACCAAAAGCCTCTTCCTGGGTCAGAAGGTCAGTTCTCTGTCACCCTCACCCAAGCTGATTAGATCGAGGTAAATATATAAGAAAGACAGAGTCGAGTCAGAATGTGTTAGATATTAAGACTAACATGGACTTTCAAAGTGCTAAAACACAGTGCTGGATGTGTGGTTTCAGCCAGAGGAAGATGATGCAGTCATTTTGTTTTGGAGAAAACCTGATATCTCACTCTTGATGAGCAACCCTGAACAAAAGATCACCTAATCAGATCAGTTCTCAGGATAAACAGTCCTTTATGTGCTTTAGTTAAGACACAAAACAAATACACTAGTTGACTTTTGCTCAAGGCAACAAACTGTGAGCTTATTATTTTTTATCAGTTCTTCTAATTCATAATTGAACTTGATTCAAAAGGCAAAATCAGTCAGGGGAATGTGACAACGTTCCTCCATTATTCACCAGGTCTCTCTCATAGAAAAAATGTGTTCAGTGTGTAATTTTGTTCAGTAACTGTATTGCAAGTTTCCAACAGGCTGTACTTCCTAACAGGTCTCCTGTGTTAACCTTATGTCTGCTGGATCTCAGATCTCTCTTTGAGCCCTATAACCTTTTTACTGAGCTGAAATGTGGAAGTAAATTTGCCTGAAAATTCCATCAAACTTTTTTTTAAAGCTCATCAAGATGAGAATTGTGCGTAAATCGATTTGAGTATGAAAATCATCAAAGGCAGGGGAATCACACTGAGCATGAACGATGCGAGAAATATCACTGGTTGCATGTTTCTCATTTAAAACGATGATAATAATGATGGTAATTGCTGATTTGTTATGACTTCAGCCCCTCTGCATTCTCTTTGAGTTAAAAGTGATATTACATGTGTTGTGTTTGGGTTCAAATCCAGACTGAAGTTTGGATCAGGAAACATTTCTCTGTTTTTGTAAGAACTGAATCCAGTTTTGTATCAACAAAGAGGGTGGTCTGGACTGTCTTCTACAGAATAGAATGTGGAGTCATAAAAACACATTGATATGTAAAAATAAGTTGTGGGGAATTTACTTCCAGACCTCAGTGTGAGGCTCAGTTGTGATGGCACTGCATGCTTTGGTTCATACTAATGTTTTTAATACTAATTAACATGAGCTGATATAGTAACACACCCATTTAACTTTTAGTATATTGCTTCTATCATTTAGCTGCCGCACCTTACTACACATTTTACTAGGGATTTAGTTTCTATTAGCAATGCAAGACTGTTTCTGTTGTATGGACTTAAATAACTGTAACTGCACCTGCATTTCCCTTTGTGTTCAACTGAGTCTCAGTTCGTTGTCACTGCCACGACTGGTCTTTTTGATGATCTGGGCCTATAAGGCGTCTGTTTAAATCCTTGTTGGTGAAGTTTGTATGCAATGAATCTTAATCTGAAAGGTGCTAATGAGATGTAACCTGTCCATTTGAAATAGTTTACATTTGGAGGGATACCTTGACATTTTGACTTTTTAAATCTAGAAAATTCCTCATTGAGTCCATTGACTGGTGTTGGCAAATGTTTGTAGTCCTGGTAAAATGACAAACAGTATAAATATAGAGGGCTTTTTGGTAGTGCCACTATTCAAGCAATCCACAGTAATGTATTCTACAGGAAGAACAGGCCAAAGAAAAGCATACTGCATAGAATGTAAGTAAACAGAAGTCCTCTCTACACTCTGAACCTGGAGGAACTTCATCCTAACCTCAAACCACTGCAGTTATTTCTCACACTTTTCTTCAGTATGTTAAATAATTTCACATTTCCTGCTTGTATTTGTATGGAAGTGCTCATCCAGGCTTCAAAACTTCAACCAGATGCTGTATGACTCACCTTTTGCAGTAAATGGGTGAAAGGCTTTTTTTTCATTGGCTTTATTTCTGCTGTACTCCTTTGTACACTCTGCACATTAACAGCTGGCAGTCGGCCTACGTTTCAAATTCAGCTTTATTGTCATTTCCACACATTTGCATAACATGCACACAGGGATGATGAGCCATCAACGAACGAACAAGAAGTACAACAAACAAATTAACTGTAGACAAACTCTAAACTGAAAGTAAACGAGGTCCAGTGTATTTTTTTACCATATTTAAAATACACTGCACATGAGACTGCATTCACACGTATTTAGTGCTTTCTGCTGTGGACAGTTCAGTCCAGTTTTGTAATTCATCAGAAAGTCAAGGTATCTCTCTAAGAAGCTACAGAGTAAATCTGGTTTTAATGGCGTTGCTTCCTCCCTCTTCCCTCTTGCCCTCCCTCCTGCTCGGCATGCCTCCCTCCGCCCCTCCCTCCTCCGCAGCTCAACCTTATCCACAGCGAGGTCAGTAACTTGGCTGGCTTTGACGTGGAGGGGGTCATCAATCCCACCAATGCTGAACTTGAACTTAAAGATGATCTAGGTGAGCTACCCCACCCCCTCACCTTCTCTGGTCCCTTTGAGAATGAAAAAATCCTTGAATGCTCAACAGTTTCACAACTTCTAACTAAAATTCTCTGTGACTTAAGGTTTCAGGCTGGTTGACAGGTTAGCAGGACCCTGTTCCAGCAGGTTTGTTCAGTCACACTGTGGGAACTTTGGTTATCGTCTCACTCTAGCCCCTTTCACACATGCACTGGAACCCTGAAATTATCTAGACATTACCCGGGGAGCTGTATGTGAGAACACATATGTCCCAGTCAGCTGACCAGGACCTTAAGCAGACTTTACTCTGCCAGCTCCATAGTGCAATGTCCACGTAAGGTTCTAGTGAGCTGGAGTGAGGCCACGTGAGAGTTCATATACTGTAGTTCAGAGTACTCGCACAGAAATAGTCGACGTGTTGATCAAAGTTTATCATGTGACCAGCGTGAAACCAGAAGAATACAAACATCCAGTGGTGAATAAAGATGGCTGTTTACAATGAAGACGCCAATGAAAATATCTAACTGGAGACACAACGAGATTCAGAAACTTCTGTCATTAAGAGCCTGCACCCGAATCGTCAGACAAGGCAAGAGACTCGGCTGTTTATGAACACATTACAAACTGGCTACGTCCATGCCATGTCCCGCATTGTGCACGCTCTACTAAATAGTGTATTTTCAGCAGGTGAGAACGTGTCTGACACAGACCATCTCCAGTTGTGTGCTATATGTGCATTTGTTTGTAGCATTTCAAAACCAAAATTTGGACACTTGGGCAATGAAATAAAATGAATGAAAATTAGATAAAGAAATTAACTTTGTAATTAACTGTAAACCACTTCTTGTTTTTGCTTTGTGGTTAATGCTGCAGCCAGTTTCCTCAGTAGATCTGCTTGTTGGTGATTCCTGGGTTTTTTTTTCAAGAAATAAAGGACTTATTGACAGCGTTGCGCGTAACTTTGACCCCCTGTGTCCTCAAGTAACACCCTGCTGTTGCACATAAATGAAGAATAAATAAAATAGAATTTCTAGCAGAAAGACAAGAATTTCTGTGAAGACATTCAAGGATTTTTTCAAAACTCCTCAGAGCAGTGGTCCTGCTTGCTCTTCACCATCATAAGATTCATTCCAGGTTGTGCTCCTTTCAGATGGCTGCCAGGCTTTCATAATGCTAATAATCAATTCACTTGTGAGAACATTATTAGACTGAAATAGAAGATCTGGTTACAGAAGACAAACTGGCATAAACCTCTGTTAGTTGCTCAGTGCAGCCAGACTGTAAGGCTGCTCATCTGGAGTGTGATCATAAAAAGCTTTGCTCAGTTTAATGAGCCAAGAATAACAGGATGACACAATTAGCCAGAGAACATATTTAAATGTTCTGAATTTAAAAACTACATGGAATCTTGTATGAATGGAACTACACATTTAGGGTAGATTACTGTATTTTTGTGATGGTTTTTAAAGTAATTTGGCTAAATGTGCAGTCCTGCTTAATAGCATAACGTGACCCACCTGTCCTCAGTGGCCTCCCTGTCCCCTGTGATGTCCTCAGCCAATAAGGAGCGTGCTCACCATTTCTCTTCTCTTCCTCTTTTTCTCCTTCATCCGTTTTTTTTCTTCCTCCTTGTCCCATCTTGTTGCTCCTGATCACTCACTGTAATTTACCACCATGTTGTTTGCCTGTTGTTTGTTGTTGTTGTCTGTAGTTGCAAGTTGTCCAAGCCGACATTTCCATCGTGGAGAGCGACGCTGTCGTTCACCCGACCAGCTCCTCCTTCTATACAGGTGGTGAAGTAGGTAAAGGAACCATTGAGACCACCGAGACCATGCCTGCTCTCTCTGCATGTTCCATATCGCCTGCACTGCAGTCTGTGGACAAACAGCACAGCAGCAGCACAGTTTTTATTCCACTTTGTACAAGGTTATTTAGCCAGGGCTCTTAACCCACAACCCAGCTTCGATCACTGTAAAGGCATTGTACTCTAACACTGACTGAAAGAATCACAATGTATCATGAGTGAAATCTAGTCTTGAAATGTGCAAGCAGGGACCATTTTATTTATGCAGTGAGCCGCCACCTTTAGGACCTGAAAGTCAGCTGCCACTGAGAACTGCAGTCATACTTTATTTTGAATAACAACCAGAAGACAAACTGAACATGGACACCGTGTAAAGGGTCATTTGACTCTGGCTGTTCACCATATTAAAGAAGGCGGTTGGTTGGTTGGCAGCTGACTGCCTTTTCTCAGATTCCTCCATTGACATGCACCAAAAGGAAGTGTTTTCAGAAAAGTTCCTGCTCACAACCAGACCCTGTTTCTCAAAGCAGGAATAAAGTTAGCTGAATAATCGGGAACTCCCCAAATTGTGTCATGGGATTTATGTCTGGTAAAAAAAAAAAAAACTTTACTCAACTTTATTTTAACATCCAGTGAGAGACTGCAAGCACACATTCCAGGTAGACTGTTTTGTAATGACGTATTTCTACGGTCTACCTCATACCTGTCATGACAAAATCTAAAATAGTGGCCACTGTGATCAATGTCCATAGTTGTTAAATCCTGTCACAGGAGTATTATAAAATACTGTGCAGTGTTGTTGTGTTGGAGAAGTCGTCAGACTCACGGTCCTCCTACTGAGACTGGATGTCCAGCGTTGCCTCGCTGGTACCTGGAACAACGCCCTCACCACTGCAGCTAGGGTTGGTTTTGGTCTGAGCACTTGAGACTCATAATCCTGCTTCATGAACATTAGCTGTTACACAATTCATGCACAACTTTTTAACTAAATATTTGAAGGAGACTGTAGTAGCCGGCCACTGCAACTCGCTAAGTCTTTGCAAGTTCATCTTAATGTCACATGAGCTCCAGCCAGAAGCAGGGACATACTGTAGCCTTTTAACACCGATTAGTCATCAAATATGCAAGTGCAGTTAGTTGTGTAAGAGATTAACTGAAATGTGAGAGACAGTACAGAGTAGTTGTTGAGTGTCATGCCATACATACACGACCCTGTGTTTCTGTTAGTGGAATCCTTAGACTGTGCTGCTGCTGCTTGTTGTTTTTGTTCCATGTGACTGAAATGTGGACGATCTGGGACTCGCTTCATTTCGTGTAACCGTCCCCTTGACTGTGCTGTCAGTCCAGCTTGTTAGAAAAGTTTCTGATTGAGACGTTAATTTCTTGAAGCCTCAAATTAAAACTAATGATTCAAATTAAGGTGTGATGAATAATGACTAAACAACAAGCTACAAAGATGATTCTTCCTACTGATTTGCTTGCTCATATTGCTGTTTTTCTCATTTCTTTAAACAACTGACAATCTTACTATGTTTTCATTCCTGCCTGTTTTAATGACGCTGTAGCCAAAACATGAATTTCTCTAGCTGTGATTTGTACGACCAAGATGAACATAGTGCTTACATTTTCATCAGTGATATGTTACTAGCACTTTTTTTTAAACTCTTCACTCTACTGTAATTTGAGAGTGAAAGAAAATGGCCCTAGTCCAAGTCCACAGCAGATCAGCCAGTATGTGAGTAGAGAAGTTACTGGGTGTTGGGCCTTTAATGCATTAGTCTGACTCACAATTAGTCATTTGGAAAATACCAGCTTTGAATCTTCATTTGTGAGATTTTTTTTCTGAGCCTCACAAATAAAGTAACAGACTGCATGACAGGCGTGAATTGGAGATTCAGCGACAGGCCAGGTCAAACGATTGACAGCATGGTTGTCCGCCTGCCTACCTGTCTGTCTTCATGTCCGCCTGCTTGCCTGGCTGTCTGCATGACATTGCCCGTCTGTCTGTCAGCAGCATGTGAAGGATGTATTCATCCGAGTCCTCTCTCCGCTTACAGGCTCGGCTCTGGAAAAAAAAGGAGGAAAGGAGTTCACTGAAGCGCTGCAGGAGCTGAAGAAGAAGAACGGCCCTCTGGAGGTGGCTGGCGGTAAGCGCACAGAGACATCACAGATGGAGGTTGTCATCTCTTTATACAAGTTGCAGTTTTTATTGCTATCTGAAGGTTTTGCCAGGTTCAGACCCTTTCATTATTAATTCAGCCTTGGTTATTTTCATTATCATTGATCAATTAATTTGTACACTGTATAAAAAAGGATTTCCTTTTCCTGCTCTAGGGTCTCAGGATAAGGGGTTTTGAAACCCCTTAAGGCAAATTTGTCTATACATAAGACTTGACTTCCACATTCAGCCCCTGATTTCAGGATTCTGTAGCAACAGTCAGCCCTCAGCAACACACAGATTTCACACACTTTGATTAATTCTTCCTTCTGTTGAGGGGTGATATCGCCAGAGCTTCCTTTATTATTGAAGCACTGAAGAGCCAAAAACTTTTTTGTGCCACAAGTTAAGCTCATAAAAAGAAGCAATAACACGAGAGAAAGTATTGAAAATAAAGAAAAAAATGACCAAGCCTGAGGAAGTGTTTGTTGAGACAGAATAATACACTGTTGCTTCTGGTCTTTTGTCTTATTGACAATAGAAGTAGAAGATCACACCTGCAGTAGTGCTGTTGCTCTCTTGCAGGGAAACCATATTCCACACAGGAGGTAATGCAGTTCATATTCCCACAGCAACATAACATTTTTAGTTAGCAGGAGCTAACGCACAAGGCGTAATTGACAAAAAAGACCATCACATGAGCTCAAACTCCAGCAAACTGTGCACTGATTGCACAGTTTGATTGACAGGTTTTAACATCACCGCATACTGTTCCACCTACCCACACCATAAAACAAGTTGGACTTTGCAGGCAAGTCATAGAAGCCATAATCATCATCTTGCACACACTTTACCGCACACATGCAGTTAGTGGCTGGCTCTTGCTCTGCCGTGTGAAGTCTCTCCATCCTCTCTGTGTGCGCCATCTGGAAATCGGCTCATCCTCGGCATTGACTCCAGTCCATCGCACGCTCACTGTGGCCTGAGTTACACGGTGCGCAGCTGCTGGTTTGATGAACATTCAGCCCCAGAGATCAGACTCTCCTCTTGTCTTCTCTTCCTTTCTTGTCTTTCTCTCCATTTCCTCTTGTTCTCTTCCATATTCTTCCTCTTCTCCTTTTCTTCTCTACTCCCCAGTGGTCTGGAAAAATTATTTCTCTGGACCACCTCACTATAATACCCCAGTCAAGCCATTGTAAGCTCTTGGAGATTTGCTATGCACATTTTCCACAAAGCAAAGTGTTTTTTTAAGTATCTCAGACCTCTTAACTCACTTCTGACTAAACTAAAGTGGCATAGATTTAGCAAAATATGACGCACAGCAACAAGTAGTTGCCCAGAAAAAGTGATGATGCAGGTGGAAGGTGTAGGTAACTACACCCATTTTGATTTCATTTAGTTTTGTTATGTTTTCGGTGTTGTGCAGGCCGGTATGTAAACATTTAACCAATAGCAAAATATTTGTGTGACGCCCCGTTTCTTCAGTTTTCTGAATGCCTCTGGGTGTATGATGTCTTCTGGTTGTCTATCCGACCCACTCTCATGAACACGATATCTCAGGAATGGCTTAAGTGAAATTCTTTGAATTTGGCACAAATGTCCGACTCAAGAATGAACTGATTAGATTTAGGTGAACAGAGGTCACAGTGACCTCACATCTGTCCCAGTCCTGTGAATTTGATTGATTAATTCATTAATGTAAAAATGTGTAAACCAAAAGAAGCAAAGCATTAACTAGTTGTTAGCCATGAGAATTTGGTATTTGTCAATCAATCATGTCAGATGTCACCTTGTCTTATGACTTTGTCTCCATCTTTCTTTCCGCCTTACCTAGACTAACCATTCTTCATCCTCTCTTCTCTCCATGCCGTAGCTGTGTTGACCGCCGGCTTTGGTCTGCCTGCTAAGTACGTCATTCACTGTAACAGTCCAGGCTGGGGCTCCGACAAGTGTGAGGAGATGCTGGACAAGACGGTGAAGAACTGCCTGGCTCTGGCCGACGAGAAGAAACTCAAGTCTGTGGCTTTCCCCTCCATTGGTAGTGGAAGGTAGGAAAACATGATGGATCTGTTGGTGAAATAGCAACAACCAGGGTAGACATTGGTTTGGCTTTTTGACATGGAGAAGGTTAAAAGCAGCCAAAGGACTCAGATTTGATTCTGATGTGGCTTTCTTCCTTCTGTATCTAAAGCTAACCTGTTTGTTTTGGTAGCATTAGCATTTGTATTGAATTAATATTATTCTAATTTGGGAGTAATTGGAGCTTTGTGTGACATTAGTGCTTTGTACACATCAGCAGTAACCAGAGCATTCTACTGGGCTGACATAGTTACTGTAACGCTAGCTTCAGACTGGAGGCTCAATTTAGCTAGTTAGCAGGGTACATAATTTATTGAAGTGACAACATTTGAGAGAGGAGTGTCAAAAGGTTGTAAAACGTGTTTTGACACATTGCTAACTTAAAATGTCACAAGTATAATTATTGCTATTGATTTCATGTTCTTACTTTAGCAAATAGCAGCCACGTCAGTGTAACTCTATGGCGCTGCTGCCAATGTTTGGAGCTGTTCAATGTCCCCATGATCCGCCATTACTCTCCTTATGGTCCTTATAGAGTCAGCGGAGATGTCACCAGTCTCCTCTTTAATCCACTGTAGTTAGGAGCAGCTTATAGTGTCAGTTTGTTTTGAGTCTCACTAGACCCTCTAGGCTGAAAAGACATTAGGCAGAGTAGCTTGAGACTATAATACTGCCCAGATACTGTCTGTTTTGTTTCTATGTTGACCTCCAGTATAAATATAATGAATGACATGGTCAAGTAAATAAAAAATGAGAAGTCTTTTTGGTGTTTGACCACATTTCAACTCTGTGTGTGTGTGTGCGTGCGTGCGCGCTTAAAGGAATGGGTTCCCGAAGCAGACAGCGGCCCAGCTGATCCTTAAAGCTATTTCCAGCTACTTTGTGGCCACCATGTCTTCCACCATCAAGACCGTCTACTTTGTGCTGTTTGACAGCGAGAGCATTGGGATCTACGTGCAGGAAATGGCCAAACTGGAGACGAGCTAAGAGTCTGGCGTGTTCTCCTACTTGTTCCTTCTCCCTCACCTCGTTTTTTCCTGCAAGGAAATAGAAAGGTGTTTACTATTGGTTTGGTAACTATGAAGAGAAGAAGAAAGAAGAATCTTTTAAAGGCTGGGAACTTGATTTTGCATTATGTTTGTATTTTTCTTATCGATTTTAATTCCTTGTTTACTTGTCACCTCTGGTGTTTAAATCTAAAAGTGCACTGTTCATTCTGCAGTCTTTTAACACAGGCAGTGCCACTCAAAACAGATTCAATGAGTGAGAAGACTCACTTTAAAATTTAATTTTCATTAAATAAAAATGTTCGAGAGATAGCTACACCTCAAGTCCAAGACTTCCAGAGAAGTCCAATAAATACGGGTTCATGCATGTGAAGGCAGTAAAGATAATAAAGAGCTATTCTCTTTCTTTTTGGCTCAAAACATAATTCCTACTTAATTATTTTGGTTTGTTCTGCATTTTGGAACATCTCTGTTGTTAATAGTACTGTATAATGAAAGGGTAAAGCATAAAGAAAAGTTCAGTTTGCTCTACTTTAGCTGTCAGTAGACCAATATAACAGTTTTTGTTTTTGTGTTGTGTGTTGCAGATTCCTCTTTTTTTGTCTTTGTTAACACAGTCAAAACTGTTTTAGTGTGCTGCAAAGACCTTGGATTAAAAAGTATTAATCAATTGGGGAAAAAAAATGGTACACGCCCATGTTCTATACTCCTGGTGCTAGCGCCTTGAGTTTAAACTCTAAATTGATCACCTGTTGTCATTTATACAAACTAAAATTAGTGGCATGAAATTGTTTGGAGGTTTTTGCAGGGCACCTGGTTTATATTGTGCGTTCCTATCAGTGTTTATATAGATGGAGTATTTGTGAAATGTTATAGTAAAATATTGGACTGTAACATAGATTCTTATTTTCTGTTTTAATTTCCACACTGATTCTAAAAGATGCAGATGATTTGAAAGGGGAAAAAATGTGAGTGATATCTTTTTTTGTGTGTGTGTGTTTTGTCTTTGTTAAACCATAAAAATGTACTCACGTTTGCTGGAAATAGAGGCTCTGTCTGTCTGTCGTTGCTTTTGGGTTTCTCTTTCACTCAGCTGCCACTAGATGGCTGCCTGAAATTACAAATTGGATTTTTAACCTCAGCCATTTTCTGTGCTGCAGCAGGCCTCTTCACACCGACGCTGGTCCATTTGAGTTGGATTTGAATTGGGTCGGACGGACATATACAAGGAACTTGACTGCTCTGCTGCATTTGGATTTTTCAACAGCCTAATTTTCTTATGATAAAAAATATAAAACACTTTCTAAAAAATTGCTACAATTGGTGATTCTACAAAAGGTCTGTATACACTCCGTTAATAAAATACCTTTAAAACATCATTTGGTCCTCTTGAAGTTGTGAGATAATTTTGTCAGAAAGCTGCCAGGGACTTTGAGCCTCCGTTTTTAAAAGTGTGTTTGGTTGGAAGTAATGAATCCATCTTCACTGTGTTACAGGGGAAATAACTCAGTGTTGCAGAACAGATGCAGGTGTATGGTTTGTTGTAAGATGACTTGCAAAATAAACAGCTTTTAAATAGTATTTTTTGTGTTCATCAGGAAAAGTAAACTGCTCCTAACATTCAGTACTATCCTAAGTTGACTAAAAATAATGGCATGGATACATCGCTCATTTTTGATTCCTTAGATATAAACTACATTTGACAACGTGTGATAAGCTGCGTTGCTAGACTTGCCAAAGCAGCTGAAAACTAAATTCTTACATTTATCTCTGTACAGTACACTACAGTACACAGTACACTGTACACTCTTTATTCATACTAAATATTAGTGGTTTCAGATTTTATTTAAAGAATAAACGGTAGGAACAAGCCACAGTTTTGCCTAAAACATGTCTTGTAACTTTTTATTTCCTATTCCATCTCAGCACACAGTAATGCTTCCCTTTAGTGGTGGCACACAGCATTACACAAATCTAAAGTGTGAACCATTACTGCCTGCTAGTGAAAAGGAATGGCAATTTAATGGTACAAATAGCAATGTATGTATATGGTCACAGTTTTTGTGAGCATGTGTAGGAAAGATTTATATGTAAAAACCTTTTTGTTCTTGTGAATAAAAGCTTTATACATATTATGTTACACAAAGACACTGAAAACAAGCCTGTTTGTGAACATCTGTGTACAGGCAGAAAGTAGCAAGTTGCACATTTAACTCAGTTTAGGAGTAGGCCTACTGAGGTTTAGTGTGAATAGCCACAGGAGTTTCACGCCAGTGCCTTCTGTGCTGGTCCCAAGCCTGGATAAATAGAGAGGGTTGTGTCAGGACGGCATCTGGCGTAAAAACGTGCCAAATTTACTCATGAGAATTGGATTTGCTGTGGCGACCCCTAATTAGTGATGTGTCATTCACAAATGATTCGTTCATTTTGAACGAATCTTTCCATGACTCGAGAACATCGGGTCATCTCGGGGAGTGATTTGTTCATTTTGTGTTGACCACGCATGCGCAACATCGCTTAAAATTAGTACACCTTTAGAGTCCTCGGTTTGGCGTCGTTCGTTTTTAAATAAATCTTTTAAAGATTAGTACACCTTTCGAATCCTCAGTTTTGAGTCGTTCGTTCGCTCACTGTGCTGTGTAATAATAAAATACATTTCACAATGTATATTTCATTATAATTTCTGGTTCATTATTGTTCATCGTTTTAATGTTGTAGCTGGTAAAGGTAGGGATAAATTTAACTTAAAGTTTGAACTTATGGTGAGTAGCTTGTAAATTTGTCACCAGAGATTACTGAAGTCTCATGATTAGGCTTATACCGTATTTCCTTTTTATTCATCTAATTCTGAAAAGAAAATATAAACTCTGGTTATCAAATAAATCTAGTGGAGTAAAAAGGTATGGTAAGATGTGAAGAAGCAGAAACTAAAAATAAGTACAGATGCCTCAATTGCTTTTTCCAACAGAGTTTGATGCTGTTACTATATTAATGTAAGTATAGGCTAGGAAAATTAAGGAAATATCAGGTGAGTAGGGGAGGAGAGGCTCAAATGTGCAAGAAATATGAACTGATTGGAGAAAACGGTTGTCATTCAAACTCCTGTTTAGCCTCAAAATCACGCTCCATTTCACCAAGTATCCCTCTTTTTTTTAATGGCACTTTTTTAAATGGCACTGGTTCAGGTCTCAGTTCTTCAATACAGTGAAGAACTGAGACCTGAACCAGTGCCTGAAAGCAGAACAAGAAAGTTTTAAAGTTGTAATAGCTTTATTGAGGAAAGACCACAATGAAGACAGGGCCTGGAAATCACACTTTTTAAAAAAAATGCTGCTGAAGTTTTGGCCTAAATGGGAAATCCCTTCTGGTTGGGTCATCAAAGCAGAGTACCTCACATTTTTCTCCACGCTGTTACACTGCATGCGCCTGGACCACAGTTTTGAAGACTCTAGTCATGTAACTAGAAGAGAGGTCCAGCTGCCCAACAGCATCAACTTACAACATAGCCAAGCACGTGGCCACCATTCTGGCTTGTTTGGTGGGAAACACAGAAAACCACGTAATTAACTCCCAGGAACTTTGCGAGGAAAGCAAACAATTGCAACTGTCCCAGGATGAGACCATGGTCTCATATGATGTCACATCCTTGTTCACTTGCATCCCCACTACAGAGGCTGTCAAGGCGGTGAAGAAGAGACTCCTGAAGGATGACACGCTGAACAGCAGGGCTAACCTCACCCCAGACCATGTATGCATTCTGCTGGAACTCTGTTTAAACACTACCTACTTCCAGTTTGGGGGGGCACTTCTATAGGCAGCAACACGGCTGTGCTATGGGCTCCCCGGTGTCTCCTATAGATGCCAACCTGTACATAGAAGAATCTGAGGACAAAGCCCTGTCTTCCTTCACTGGTACCGCTCCCAGCCACTGGTTCCGCTATGTGGACGATACATGGGTTAAAATCAGGACCTGGGAGGCAGAGGCTTTCACCAAGCATACAGACTCCTAGATATCAACATCAAGTTCACTCGTGAAGATGCCAGAGATGACTGTCTGGCCTTTTTGGATTGTGCAGTCCACTTGTGAGGGGACAGAAGCCTGAAGGTAAAACTATATGGGAAACCTACACACACAGACCAATACCTCCTTTTTGACTCGCACCATGCACTTCAACACAAACTGGGAGTCATCAGAACTCTAAATCACAGGGCAGAGGAAGTGCCCACAACTGCAGAAGGGGCCAAGAAAGAGAAACTACACATCCAGAACTCCCTTAAGGCTTTTGGATACCCCAAGTGGGTCTTCACCAAAGCAAGGAAGAGGCCCAACACCAACAGGGAGAAACCAGAAACAAGAGGGGATAACACTGTCATCCCTTATGTGGCTGGTTTATCAGAGAAGTTAAAAAGGATATTTCGCAACCACAATATCCCAGTTAACTTTAAACCAGGGAACACCCTGTGACAGAGACTGGTCCACCTGAAGGACAAAACACCCAGACATAAACAGAGTGATGTGGTGAATGCAATTAAGTGTAGTCAGGAGTGTAACGACTTGTACATTGGTGAAACTAAGCAGC